AACACATTCATTGCAACAGAAAAACAAATAAATCCCTACTATATTTCATTCTCTTAACAATCACATCTCTAAACAATATAAAATATTATACTAAACAACACATTCAAATCGCTTAATATGATGTACACAATACTATTCCTTTCCATGTTTCGCTCCTCTTCTTCGTCTTCATCCTTATTACCATAACTGTTCAAATATAACGTCTTATTTATCTTTCTAATGTCCAAACATGAAATATGACAGAAATTTTTACTACTGCCGACACTAGTAATACAAACAATAATAATATTAATTAATATCATTAGTACTTTTATTAGTAATAATAATTATAATTTTAATATAACTACATTTGCAATATTAAAAATAATAAACGCCATCATCATAAAGTTGATTGTTATCTGAATTGGTGAGATTTATGCAATTGAAGTCGACGACAAATTACTGATTCCGAAAGCAGAAAAGGAACAATAATAAAGTAAACAATGACTGTCTTCTTTTCGCTCAACATCTGCGTGGACTGCCGAAACCTCAGAAAACATTCCACAACATGAAGCTTTTTCTATTATTATTTGTAGCATACGCACAATAGGATATCAGTTATTACAAAGAAGTAGACTATATACCAACGCGTGCGTGCTACTACTTTACACATCTCATTCCGAGGCTAATGAATGGTTTAGAAATATCGAGCTCCTGAGACGAGTTCAAATCACGACAAAAGTTATTTCATTATTGGTTCTGATTTTTCGCTGTGTATATAATACGCAGTAACGGCTGCCATTGAGAAGGTTAGCACAAGAAATAAAATAAATATTTCTTAGACTTGTATTCGTTCAGTAAACATGGCTTTTCTCAGTAAGATTTCAATCTCACTAAGCACCTTTGTTTGTAAACAGAACACTTATCCATGAAGCTACTTTCAAAAGGAATATTTTTAAACAAATTTTCTCTTTAGCAGAATTACAAATAAATAAGCGAGAATCCTTTGAGTATTGTACTAAAACGTGTACATTTAAATGCATAAATTTGATACATATAATTCCTGAATGTCCCGAGTTACGATCTCACATAGTGTGACTGACCACATATAATCAATCGACTACTGAAAGCATACTCCATTACACTCGACTGATTTAGGTTGATGACCAAGTGACCAAATGAAAAGATAATTTTCATACATTTACATTTTTTCTTTCATCGTCTTCTATTTTGCTCACTTTGAATAAATTCGGGCATATCAGATGTACTGATTAGCAGAGAAATGAAATCACAATGTAAGGCTCAACACGTACAGAAAGTAAGTTTATGATTAGTTAAATGAGACGGTTTCATCGCTGGGAGTGGAGGCGTCCTCCTGTAATCCAGTTACTTGGAGGCAAGGTCGGGTGGCCGGTTTGAGATCGGGGGTTCTGTTCTGCGTTGCGTTATGGCGATCAGGCGTCCGCACTAACCTTGACATCAATATGGTTAGCTGGAGGGAGCTTCAGCTGATCAGGTTGACTAACGAGGGCCGGCCCGGTCGAGGGCGGAAACGCAGCAGACAAAAGTCCCCGTGTCAAGCCGTAGTGGGATCGCGCCCGTGAATAGTTCGCGTGCGACTCTCCGTTCAAAATAATCGAACTCCGCCCTATAACTTTTTTGCAGGTTTTTTTTTCTGCCTACTGCTAACATATTTTTCACTTCCTTCAAAATATTCAAATCTATCAGACGTTTTCACATTTACCTATCAAAAAAAGACACCACAAGTCTAGTTAATACAAAAACGCGTGTAAAAGATTTGAATTTTCCTACCAAGAATTCGCGTAAACACATTTTACATCGCAACTTTATACATCTTGCTATTTCAAACACATTCATTGCAACAGAAAAACAAATAAATCCCTACTATATTTCATTCTCTTAACAATCACATCTCTAAACAATATAAAATATTATACTAAACAACACATTCAAATGGCTTAATATGTTATACACAATACTATGCCTTTCCATGTTTCGCTCCTCTTCTTCGTCTTCATCCTTATTACCATAACTGTTCAAATATAACGTCTTATTTATCTTTCTAATGTCCAAACATGAAATATGACAGAAATTTTTACTACTGCCGACACTAGTAATACAAACAATAATAATATTAATTAATATCATTAGTACTTTTATTAGTAATAATAATTATAATTTTAATATAACTACATTTGCAATATTAAAATTAATAAACGCCATCATCATAAAGTTGATTGTTATCTGAATTGGTGAGATTTATGCAATTGAAGTCGACGACAAATTACTGATTCCGAAAGCAGAAAAGGAACAATAATAAAGTAAACAATGACTGTCTTCTTTTCGCTCAACATCTGCGTGGACTGCCGAAACCTCAGAAAACATTCCACAACATGAAGCTTTTTCTATTATTATTTGTAGCATACGCACAATAGGATATCAGTTATTACAAAGAAGTAGACTATATACCAACGCGTGCGTGCTACTACTTTACACATCTCATTCCGAGGCTAATGAAAGGTTTAGAAATATCGAGCTCCTGAGACAAGTTAAATCACGACAAAAGTTATTTCATTATTGGTTCTGATTTTTCGCTGTGTATATAATACGCAGTAACGGCTGCCATTGAGAAGGTTAGCACAAGAAATAAAATAAATATTTCTTAGACTTGTATTCGTTCAGTAAACATGGCTTTTTCTCAGTAAGATTTCAATCTCACTAAGCACTTTTTGTTTGTAAACAGAACACTTATCCATGAAGCTACTTTCAAAAGGAATATTTTTAAACAAATTTTCTCTTTAGCAGAATTACAAATAAATAAGCGAGAATCCTTTGAGTATTGTACTAAAACGTGTACATTTAAATGCATAAATTTGATACATATCATTCTTGAATGTCCTGAGTTACGATCTCACATAGTGTGACTGACCACATATAATCAATCGACTACTGAAAGCATACTCCATTACACTCGACTGATTTAGTTTGATGACCAAGTGACCAAATGAAAAGATAATTTTCATACATTTACATTTTTCTTTCATCGTCTTCTATTTTGCTCAATTTGAATAAATTCGGGCATATCAGATGTACTGATTAGCAGAGAAATGAAATCACAATGTAAGGCTCAACACGTACAGAAAGTAAGTTTATGATTACTTAAATGAGACGGTTTCATCGCTGGGAGTGGTGGCGTCCTCCTGTAATCCAGTTACTTGGAGGCAAGGTCAGGTGGCCGGTTTGAGATCGGGGTTCTGTTGTGCGCTGAGTTATGGCGATCAGGCGTCCGCACTAAGCTTGGCATCAATATGGTTAGCTGGAGGGAGCTTCAGCTGATCAGGTTGACTAATGAGGGCCGGCCCGGTCGAGGGCGGAAACGCAGCAGACAAAAGTCCCCGTGTCAATCCGTAGTGGGATCGCGCCCGTGAATAGTTCGCGTGCGACTCTCCGTTCAAAATAATCGAACTCCGCCCTATTACTTTTTTTTGCAGGTTTTTTTTTCTGCCTACTGCTAACATATTTTCACTTCCTTCAAAATATTCAAATCTATCAGACGTTTTCACATTTACCTATCAAAAAAGACACCACAAGTCTAGTTAATACAAAAAACGCGTGTAAAAGATTTGAATTTTCCTACCAAGAATTCGCGTAAGCACATTTTACATCGCAACTTTATACATCTTGCTATTTCAAACACATTCATTGCAACAGAAAAACAAATAAATCCCTACTATATTTCATTCTCTTAACAATCACATCTCTAAACAATATAAAATATTATACTAAACAACACATTCAAATGGCTTAATATGTTATACACAATACTATGCCTTTCCATGTTTCGCTCCTCTTCTTCGTCTTCATCCTTATTACCATAACTGTTCAAATATAACGTCTTATTTATCTTTCTAATGTCCAAACATGAAATATGACAGAAATTTTTACTACTGCCGACACTAGTAATACAAACGATAATAATATTAATTAATATCATTAGTACTTTTATTAGTAATAATAATTATAATTTTAATATAACTACATTTGCAATATTAAAAATAATAAACGCCATCATCATAAAGTTGATTGTTATCTGAATTGGTGAGATTTATGCAATTGAAGTCGACGACAAATTACTGATTCCGAAAGCAGAAAAGGAACAATAATAAAGTAAACAATGACTGTCTTCTTTTCGCTCAACATCTGCGTGGACTGCCGAAACCTCAGAAAACATTCCACAACATGAAGCTTTTTCTATTATTATTTGCAGCATACGCACAATAGGATATCAATTATTACAAAGAAGTAGACTATATACCAACGCGTCCGTGCTACTACTTTACATATCTCATTCCGAGGCTAATGAATGGTTTAGAAATATCGAGCTCCTGAGACGAGTTCAAATCACGACAAAAGTTATTTCATTATTGGTTCTGATTTTTCGCTGTGTATATAATACGCAGTAACGGCTGCCATTGAGAAGGTTAGCACAAGAAATAAAATAAATATTTCTTAGACTTGTATTCGTTCAGTAAACATGGTTTTCTCAGTAAGATTTCAATCTCACTAAGCACTTTTGTTTGTAAACAGAACACTTATCCATGAAGCTACTTTCAAAAGGAATATTTTTAAACAAATTTTCTCTTTAGCAGAATTACAAATAAATAAGCGAGAATCCTTTGAGTATTGTACTAAAACGTGTACATTTAAATGCATAAATTTGATACATATCATTCCTGAATGTCCCGAGTTACGATCTCACATAGTGTGACTGACCACATATAATCAATCGACTACTGAAAGCATACTCCATTACACTCGACTGATTTAGTTTGATGACCAAGTGACCAAATGAAAAGATAATTTTCATACATTTACATTTTTTCTTTCATCGTCTTCTATTTTGCTCAATTTGAATAAATTCGGGCATATCAGATGTACTGATTAGCAGAGAAATGAAATCACAATGTAAGGCTCAACACGTACAGAAAGTAAGTTTATGATTACTTAAATGAGACGGTTTCATCGCTGGGAGTGGTGGCGTCCTCCTGTAATCCAGTTACTTGGAGGCAAGGTCGGGTGGCCGGTTTGAGATCGGGGGTTCTGTTGTGCGCTGAGTTATGGCGATCAGGCGTCCGCACTAAGCTTGGCATCAATATGGTTAGCTGGAGGAGCTTCAGCTGATCAGGTTGACTAATGAGGGCCGGCCCGGTCGAGGGCGGAAACGCAGCAGACAAAAGTCCCCGTGTCAAGCCGTAGTGGGATCGCGCCCGTGAATAGTTCGCGTGCGACTCTCCGTTCAAAATAATCGAACTCCGCCCTATTACTTTTTTTGCAGGTTTTTTTTTCTGCCTACTGCTAACATATTTTCACTTCCTTCAAAATATTCAAATCTATCAGACGTTTTCACATTTACCTATCAAAAAAGACACCACAAGTCTAGTTAATACAAAAACGCGTGTAAAAGATTTGAATTTTCCTACCAAAATTCGCGTAAGCACATTTTACATCGCAACTTTATACATCTTGCTATTTCAAACACATTCATTGCAACAGAAAAACAAATAAATCCCTACTATATTTCATTCTCTTAACAATCACATCTCTAAACAATATAAAATATTATACTAAACAACACATTCAAATGGCTTAATATGTTATACACAATACTATGCCTTTCCATGTTTCTCCTCTTCTTCGTCTTCATCCTTATTACCATAACTGTTCAAATATAAAGTCTGATTTATCTTCCTAATGTCCAAACATAAAATATGACACAAATTTTGCTACTGCTGACACTAGTAATACAAACAATAATAATATTAATTAATATCATTAGTACTTTTATTAGTAATAATAATTATAATTTTAATATAACTACATTTGCAATATTAAAAATAATAAACGCCATCATCATAAAGTTGATTGTTATCTGAATTGGTGAGATTTATGCAATTGAAGTCGACGACAAATTACTGATTCCGAAAGCAGAAAAGGAACAATAATAAAGTAAACAATGACTGTCTTCTTTTCGTTCAACATCTGCGTGGACTGCCGAAACCTCAGAAAACATTCCACAACATGAAGCTTTTTCTATTATTATTTGCAGCATACGCACAATAGGATATCAATTATTACAAAGAAGTAGACTATATACCAACGCGTCCGTGCTACTACTTTACACATCTCATTCCGAGGCTAATGAATGGTTTAGAAATATCGAGCTCCTGAGACGAGTTCAAATCACGACAAAAGTTATTTCATTATTGGTTCTGATTTTTCGCTGTGTATATAATACGCAGTAACGGCTGCCATTGAGAAGGTTAGCACAAGAAATAAAATAAATATTTCTTAGACTTGTATTCGTTCAGTAAACATGGTTTTCTCAGTAAGATTTCAATCTCACTAAGCACTTTTGTTTGTAAACAGAACACTTATCCATGAAGCTACTTTCAAAAGGAATATTTTTAAACAAATTTTCTCTTTAGCAGAATTACAAATAAATAAGCGAGAATCCTTTGAGTATTGTACTAAAACGTGTACATTTAAATGCATAAATTTGATACATATCATTCCTGAATGTCCCGAGTTACGATCTCACATAGTGTGACTGACCACATATAATCAATCGACTACTGAAAGCATACTCCATTACACTCGACTGATTTAGTTTGATGACCAAGTGACCAAATGAAAAGATAATTTTCATACATTTACATTTTTTCTTTCATCGTCTTCTATTTTGCTCAATTTGAATAAATTCGGGCATATCAGATGTACTGATTAGCAGAGAAATGAAATCACAATGTAAGGCTCAACACGTACAGAAAGTAAGTTTATGATTACTTAAATGAGACGGTTTCATCGCTGGGAGTGGTGGCGTCCTCCTGTAATCCAGTTACTTGGAGGCAAGGTCGGGAGGCCGGTTTGAGATCAGGGGTTCTGTTGTGCGCTGAGTTATGGCGATCAGGCGTCCGCACTAAGCTTGGCATCAATATGGTTAGCTGGAGGGAGCTTCAGCTGATCAGGTTGACTAATGAGGGCCGGCCCGGTCGAGGGCGGAAACGCAACAGACAAAAGTCCCCGTGTCAAGCCGTAGTGGGATCGCGCCCGTGAATAGTTCGCGTGCGACTCTCCGTTCAAAATAATCGAACTCCGCCCTATTACTTTTTTTTGCAGGTTTTTTTTTCTGCCTACTGCTAACATATTTTCACTTCCTTCAAAATATTCAAATCTATCAGACGTTTTCACATTTACCTATCAAAAAAGACACCACAAGTCTAGTTAATACAAAAACGCGTGTAAAAGATTTGAATTTTCCTACCAAGAATTCGCGTAAGCACATTTTACATCGCAACTTTATACATCTTGCTATTTCAAACACATTCATTGCAACAGAAAAACAAATAAATCCCTACTATATTTCATTCTCTTAACAACCACATCTCTAAACAATATAAAATATTATACTAAACAACACATTCAAATGGCTTAATATGTTATACACAATACTATGCCTTTCCATGTTTCGCTCCTCTTCTTCGTCTTCATCCTTATTACCATAACTGTTCAAATATAAAGTCTGATTTATCTTCCTAATGTCCAAACATAAAATATGACACAAATTTTTGCTACTGCTGACACTAGTAATACAAACAATAATAATATTAATTAATATCATTAGTACTTTTATTAGTAATAATAATTATAATTTTAATATAACTACATTTGCAATATTAAAAATAATAAACGCCATCATCATAAAGTTGATTGTTATCTGAATTGGTGAGATTTATGCAATTGAAGTCGACGACAAATTACTGATTCCGAAAGCAGAAAAGGAACAATAATAAAGTAAACAATGACTGTCTTCTTTTCGTTCAACATCTGCGTGGACTGCCGAAACCTCAGAAAACATTCCACAACATGAAGCTTTTTCTATAATTATTTGCAGCATACGCACAATAGGATATCAATTATTACAAAGAAGTAGACTATATACCAACGCGTCCGTGCTACTACTTTACACATCTCATTCCGAGGCTAATGAATGGTTTAGAAATATCGAGCTCCTGAGACGAGTTCAAATCACGACAAAAGTTATTTCATTATTGGTTCTGATTTTTCGCTGTGTATATAATACGCAGTAACGGCTGCCATTGAGAAGGTTAGCACAAGAAATAAAATAAATATTTCTTAGACTTGTATTCGTTCAGTAAACATGGCTTTCTCAGTAAGATTTCAATCTCACTAAGCACCTTTGTTTGTAAACAGAACACTTATCCATGAAGCTACTTTCAAAAGGAATATTTTTAAACAAATTTTCTCTTTAGCAGAATTACAAATAAATAAGCGAGAATCCTTTGAGTATTGTACTAAAACGTGTACATTTAAATGCATAAATTTGATACATATCATTCCTGAATGTCCCGAGTTACGATCTCACATAGTGTGACTGACCACATATAATCAATCGACTACTGAAAGCATACTCCATTACACTCGACTGATTTAGTTTGATGACCAAGTGACCAAATGAAAAGATAATTTTCATACATTTACATTTTTTCTTTCATCGTCTTCTATTTTGCTCAATTTGAATAAATTCGGGCATATCAGATGTACTGATTAGCAGAGAAATGAAATCACAATGTAAGGCTCAACACGTACAGAAAGTAAGTTTATGATTACTTAAATGAGACGGTTTCATCGCTGGGAGTGGTGGCGTCCTCCTGTAATCCAGTTACTTGGAGGCAAGGTCGGGAGGCCGGTTTGAGATCAGGGGTTCTGTTGTGCGCTGAGTTATGGCGATCAGGCGTCCGCACTAAGCTTGGCATCAATATGGTTAGCTGGAGGAGCTTCAGCTGATCAGGTTGACTAATGAGGGCCGGCCCGGTCGAGGGCGGAAACGCAGCAGACAAAAGTCCCCGTGTCAAGCCGTAGTGGGATCGCGCCCGTGAATAGTTCGCGTGCGACTCTCCGTTCAAAATAATCGAACTCCGCCCTATTACTTTTTTTGCAGGTTTTTTTTTCTGCCTACTGCTAACATATTTTCACTTCCTTCAAAATATTCAAATCTATCAGACGTTTTCACATTTACCTATCAAAAAAAGACACCACAAGTCTAGTTAATACAAAAACGCGTGTAAAAGATTTGAATTTTCCTACCAAGAATTCGCGTAAGCACATTTTACATCGCAACTTTATACATCTTGCTATTTCAAACACATTCATTGCAACAGAAAACAAATAAATCCCTACTATATTTCATTCTCTTAACAATCACATCTCTAAACAATATAAAATATTATACTAAACAACACATTCAAATGGCTTAATATGTTATACACAATACTATGCCTTTCCATGTTTCGCTCCTCTTCTTCGTCTTCATCCTTATTACCATAACTGTTCAAATATAAAGTCTGATTTATCTTCCTAATGTCCAAACATAAAATATGACACAAATTTTTGCTACTGCTGACACTAGTAATACAAACAATAATAATATTAATTAATATCATTAGTACTTTTATTAGTAATAATAATTATAATTTTAATATAACTACATTTGCAATATTAAAAATAATAAACGCCATCATCATAAAGTTGATTGTTATCTGAATTGGTGAGATTTATGCAATTGAAGTCGACGACAAATTACTGATTCCGAAAGCAGAAAAGGAACAATAATAAAGTAAACAATGACTGTCTTCTTTTCGTTCAACATCTGCGTGGACTGCCGAAACCTCAGAAAACATTCCACAACATGAAGCTTTTTCTATTATTATTTGCAGCATACGCACAATAGGATATCAATTATTACAAAAAGTAGACTATATACCAACGCGTCCGTGCTACTACTTTACACATCTCATTCCGAGGCTAATGAATGGTTTAGAAATATCGAGCTCCTGAGACGAGTTCAAATCACGACAAAAGTTATTTCATTATTGGTTCTGATTTTTTTCGCTGTGTATATAATACGCAGTAACGGCTGCCATTGAGAAGGTTAGCACAAGAAATAAAATAAATATTTCTTAGACTTGTATTCGTTCAGTAAACATGGCTTTCTCAGTAAGATTTCAATCTCACTAAGCACCTTTGTTTGTAAACAGAACACTTATCCATGAAGCTACTTTCAAAAGGAATATTTTTAAACAAATTTTCTCTTTAGCAGAATTACAAATAAATAAGCGAGAATCCTTTGAGTATTGTACTAAAACGTGTACATTTAAATGCATAAATTTGATACATATCATTCTTGAATGTCCCGAGTTACGATCTCACATAGTGTGACTGACCACATATAATCAATCGACTACTGAAAGCATACTCCATTACACTCGACTGATTTAGGTTGATGACCAAGTGACCAAATGAAAAGATAATTTTCATACATTTACATTTTTTCTTTCATCGTCTTCTATTTTGCTCAATTTGAATAAATTCGGGCATATCAGATGTACTGATTAGCAGAGAAATGAAATCACAATGTAAGGCTCAACACGTACAGAAAGTAAGTTTATGATTACTTAAATGAGACGGTTTCATCGCTGGGAGTGGTGGCGTCCTCCTGTAATCCAGTTACTTGGAGGCAAGGTCGGGAGGCCGGTTTGAGATCGGGGGTTCTGTTGTGCGCTGAGTTATGGCGATCAGGCGTCCGCACTAAGCTTGGCATCAATATGGTTAGCTGGAGGGAGCTTCAGCTGATCAGGTTGACTAATGAGGGCCGGCCCGGTCGAGGGCGGAAACGCAGCAGACAAAAGTCCCCGTGTCAAGCCGTAGTGGGATCGCGCCCGTGAATAGTTCGCGTGCGACTCTCCGTTCAAAATAATCGAACTCCGCCCTATTACTTTTTTTGCAGGTTTTTTTTTTCTGCCTACTGCTAACATATTTTCACTTCCTTCAAAATATTCAAATCTATCAGACGTTTTCACATTTACCTATCAAAAAAGACACCACAAGTCTAGTTAATACAAAAACGCGTGTAAAAGATTTGAATTTTCCTACCAAGAATTCGCGTAAGCACATTTTACATCGCAACTTTATACATCTTGCTATTTCAAACACATTCATTGCAACAGAAAAACAAATAAATCCCTACTATATTTCATTCTCTTAACAATCACATCTCTAAACAATATAAAATATTATACTAAACAACACATTCAAATGGCTTAATATGTTATACACAATACTATGCCTTTCCATGTTTCGCTCCTCTTCTTCGTCTTCATCCTTATTACCATAACTGTTCAAATATAACGTCTGATTTATCTTTCTAATGTCCAAACATGAAATATGACACAAATTTTACTACTGCTGACACTAGTAATACAAACAATAATAATATTAATTAATATCATTAGTACTTTTATTAGTAATAATAATTATGATTTTAATTTTACTACATTTGCAATATTAAAAAAAAAATAAACGCCATCATCATAAAGTTGATTGTTATCTGAATTGGTGAGATTTATGCAATTGAATTCGACGACAAATTACTGATTCCGAAAGCAGAAAAGGAACAATAATAAAGTAAACAATGACTGTCTTCTTTTCGTTCAACATCTGCGTGGACTGCCGAAACCTCAGAAAACATTCCACAACATGAAGCTTTTTTTCTATTACTATTTGTAGCATACGCACAATAGGATATCAATTATTACAAAAAGTAGACTATATACCAACGCGTGCGTGCTACTACTTTACACATCTCATTCCGAGGCTAATGAATGGTTTAGAAATATCGAGCTCCTGAGACGAGTTCAAATCACGACAAAAGTTATTTCATTATTGGTTCTGATTTTTCGCTGTGTATATAATACGCAGTAACGGCTGCCATTGAGAAGGTTAGCACAAGAAATAAAATAAATATTTCTTAGACTTGTATTCGTTCAGTAAACATGGCTTTTCTCAGTAAGATTTCAATCTCACTAAGCACCTTTGTTTGTAAACAGAACACTTATCCATGAAGCTACTTTCAAAAGGAATATTTTTAAACAAATTTTCTCTTTAGCAGAATTACAAATAAATAAGCGAGAATCCTTTGAGTATTGTACTAAAACGTGTACATTTAAATGCATAAATTTGATACATATCATTCTTGAATGTCCCGAGTTACGATCTCACATAGTGTGACTGACCACATATAATCAATCGACTACTGAAAGCATACTCCATTACACTCGACTGATTTAGTTTGATGACCAAGTGACCAAATGAAAAGATAATTTTCATACATTTACATTTTTTCTTTCATCGTCTTCTATTTTGCTCAATTTGAATAAATTCGGGCATATCAGATGTACTGATTAGCAGAGAAATGAAATCACAATGTAAGGCTCAACACGTACAGAAAGTAAGTTTATGATTACTTAAATGAGACGGTTTCATCGCTGGGAGTGGTGGCGTCCTCCTGTAATCCAGTTACTTGGAGGCAAGGTCGGGTGGCCGGTTTGAGATCGGGGTTCTGTTGTGCGCTGAGTTATGGCGATCAGGCGTCCGCACTAAGCTTGGCATCAATATGGTTAGCTGGAGGAGCTTCAGCTGATCAGGTTGACTAATGAGGGCCGGCCCGGTCGAGGGCGGAAACGCAGCAGACAAAAGTCCCCGTGTCAAGCCGTAGTGGGATCGCGCCCGTGAATAGTTCGCGTGCGACTCTCCGTTCAAAATAATCGAACTCCGCCCTATTACTTTTTTTGCAGGTTTTTTTTCTGCCTACTGCTAACATATTTTCACTTCCTTCAAAATATTCAAATCTATCAGACGTTTTCACATTTACCTATCAAAAAAGACACCACAAGTCTAGTTAATACAAAAACGCGTGTAAAAGATTTGAATTTTCCTACCAAGAATTCGCGTAAGCACATTTTACATCGCAACTTTATACATCTTGCTATTTCAAACACATTCATTGCAACAGAAAAACAAATAAATCCCTACTATATTTCATTCTCTTAACAATCACATCTCTAAACAATATAAAATATTATACTAAACAACACATTCAAATGGCTTAATATGTTGTACACAATACTATGCCTTTCCATGTTTCGCTCCTCTTCTTCGTCTTCATCCTTATTACCATAACTGTTCAAATATAACGTCTGATTTATCTTTCTAATGTCCAAACATGAAATATGACACAAATTTTTACTACTGCCGACACTAGTAATACAAACAATAATAATATTAATTAATATCATTAGTACTTTTATTAGTAATAATAATTATGATTTTAATTTTACTACATTTGCAATATTAAAAAAAAATAAACGCCATCATCATAAAGTTGATTGTTATCTGAATTGGTGAGATTTATGCAATTGAATTCGACGACAAATTACTGATTCCGAAAGCAGAAAAGGAACAATAATAAAGTAAACAATGACTGTCTTCTTTTCGTTCAACATCTGCGTGGACAGCCGAAACCTCAGAAAATATTCCACAACATGAAGCTTTTTCTATTACTATTTGTAGCATACGCACAATAGGATATCAATTATTACAAAGAAGTAGACTATATACCAACGCGTGCGTGCTACTACTTTACACATCTCATTCCGAGGCTAATGAATGGTTTAGAAATATCGAGCTCCTGAGACGAGTTCAAATCACGACAAAAGTTATTTCATTATTGGTTCTGATTTTTCGCTGTGTATATAATACGCAGTAACGGCTGCCATTGAGAAGGTTAGCACAAGAAATAAAATAAATATTTCTTAGACTTGTATTCGTTCAGTAAACATGGCTTTCTCAGTAAGATTTCAATCTCACTAAGCACCTTTGTTTGTAAACAGAACACTTATCCATGAAGCTACTTTCAAAAGGAATATTTTTAAACAAATTTTCTCTTTAGCAGAATTACAAATAAATAAGCGAGAATCCTTTGAGTATTGTACTAAAACGTGTACATTTAAATGCATAAATTTGATACATATAATTCCTGAATGTCCCGAGTTACGATCTCACATAGTGTGACTGACCACATATAATCAATCGACTACTGAAAGCATACTCCATTACACTCGACTGATTTAGTTTGATGACCAAGTGACCAAATGAAAAGATAATTTTCATACATTTACATTTTTTCTTTCATCGTCTTCTATTTTGCTCAATTTGAATAAATTCGGGCATATCAGATGTACTGATTAGCAGAGAAATGAAATCACAATGTAAGGCTCAACACGTACAGAAAGTAAGTTTATGATTACTTAAATGAGACGGTTTCATCGCTGGGAGTGGTGGCGTCCTCCTGTAATCCAGTTACTTGGAGGCAAGGTCGGGTGGCCGGTTTGAGATCGGGGGTTCTGTTGTGCGCTGAGTTATGGCGATCAGGCGTCCGCACTAAGCTTGGCATCAATATGGTTAGCTGGAGGGAGCTTCAGCTGATCAGGTTGACTAATGAGGGCCGGCCCGGTCGAGGGCGGAAACGCAGCAGACAAAAGTCCCCGTGTCAAGCCGTAGTGGGATCGCGCCCGTGAATAGTTCGCGTGCGACTCTCCGTTCAAAATAATCGAACTCCGCCCTATAACTTTTTTGCAGGTTTTTTTTCTGCCTACTGCTAACATATTTTCACTTCCTTCAAAATATTCAAATCTATCAGACGTTTTCACATTTACCTATCAAAAAAAGACACCACAAGTCTAGTTAATACAAAAACGCGTGTAAAAGATTTGAATTTTCCTACCAAGAATTCGCGTAAGCACATTTTACATCGCAACTTTATACATCTTGCTATTTCAAACACATTCATTGCAACAGAAAAACAAATAAATCCCTACTATATTTCATTCTCTTAACAATCACATCTCTAAACAATATAAAATATTATACTAAACAACACATTTAAATGGCTTAATATGATGTACACAATACTATGCCTTTCCATGTTTCGCTCCTCTTCTTCGTCTTCATCCTTATTACCATAACTGTTCAAATATAAAGTCTGATTTATCTTTCTAATGTCCAAACATAAAATATGACACAAATTTTTACTACTGCCGACACTAGTAATACAAACAATAATAATATTAATTAATATCATTAGTACTTTTATTAGTAATAATAATTATAATTTTAATTTTACTACATTTGCAATATTAAAAAAAATAAACGCCATCATCATAAAGTTGATTGTTATCTGAATTGGTGAGATTTATGCAATTGAATTCGACGACAAATTACTGATTCCGAAAGCAGAAAAGGAACAATAATAAATTAAACAATGACTGTCTTCTTTTCGTTCAACATCTGCGTGGACTGCCGAAACCTCAGAAAACATTCCACAACATGAAGCTTTTTCTATTACTATTTGTAGCATACGCACAATAGGATATCAATTATTACAAAGAAGTAGACTATATACCAACGCGTGCGTGCTACTACTTTACACATCTCATTCCGAGGCTAATGAATGGTTTAGAAATATCGAGCTCCTGAGACGAGTTCAAATCACGACAAAAGTTATTTCATTATTGGTTCTGATTTTTCGCTGTGTATATAATACGCAGTAACGGCTGCCATTGAGAAGGTTAGCACAAGAAATAAAATAAATATTTCTTAGACTTGTATTCGTTCAGTAAACATGGCTTTCTCAGTAAGATTTCAATCTCACTAAGCACCTTTGTTTGTAAACAGAACACTTATCCATGAAGCTACTTTCAAAAG